GGCGGGACTCCAACCCGTGATCCGTCAGTCCGACATTGCTACTGCACTATCGCCTTAACGATCTCGGCCATTCGGGTGACCCGTGAAGCAATATACTAATTTCGGCAATCATAAGCTTGGTTTCAATACAGTGCTCATATACGAGAGCGCAGGCACTATTCAAGTATAATGGTATTTATAAATAAATTCTTAACTTTTCACTTAAATAGTCGAGTCACTCGCAATTGTATTACATTATAAATAGGTGCTATGTTACTGTACGAACTTCTTCGTATTTTAACAGCATTCCTTTTTTGACATGTGGCTTTACATTTTCAATTGAAGAGAATGTACTTTCTTCTCCAAGCTATTGTGAATGAAGTCGGTTGTATAATTATTTGTACTAGTGTCCAGTGTTGCCAGTGCTCGCCAAACCAAATAAAAAGATCATATTTTCAATAAATTGTAAAAATGCTGTTTATTAGTTTTTCGCATATCGGAAAGTTTAGTTTTGTAAATAGTTCTGCTTTGACTAATTCAACTCTCATTCTGTTTCTCAAAACGGACCAAATGTTTCCCATAATTGAGAAAATCCGTTCTACGTAAGCATTACTTACGGAAATGGACATATCCCTGCTAACACTTTTTGGGTAGTTCGGATTGGAGATTAGTTTGCACCCATGAATTTCTCTTAAAGTGTTCTACTAGTAAACATAATATCAAATGGCAGTGCCTTAATTAATATTTTCTAAAATTTGGCACGTAATAGGAAGGGGGGTGTTTTGTACTTGACGACTTCCGACTATTCTTTGTTGGGCGTCTATCTCGGAAACTATTCGTCTGATTGCAGTTTAGTTTGTTGTACTTGTATACAGAATATCAAATGGCTGTGCCTAAATTAATATTTTTCTTATTTGGCACGTAATGGGAGGGTGTTTTGTACTTGACGACTTCCGGCTGTTCCTTGTTGGGCGTCTATCTCGGAAACTACTCGTCTGATTGGAGTTTAGTTTGCACCCAAGAGTTTCTCTGAAAGTGTTGTACTTGTATACAGAATATCAAATGGCTGTACCTAAATTAATATTTTTCTAAATTTGGCA